ACCTGCACGACTTTTCAAAATTTCTACCCGCGCGCGCTGTCCTAACAACTTCTGTGGGTGTGTACTCCACGCCAGTGTAGTAGCCACGGTCGTCCGCAGGCCACGAAGTGAAGTGTCCGAACGTCATAGGGCGGGAAGCTGGGTGTGGGTGGTGGCGAAGAGTCGTGTGGATATTTGGTAGAGCTTGCACTGCCCCCCCACAAAGTGGGGGTATTGGCTGGCGTCGCATGAAAACCCTGGCACTGGTGAGAACACTGAGCGTTCGGTGTAGTGATTGTTGTTGTTGTTGTTGTTGAACATTATTAATTCTAAAGAATAATTATTGTTGGGACCCCTGGTGCACGGCCCCCCCTGCGCCGCCTAGGCCGCAGCTACATTTTCATCATTTTCGTGAGGAAGCCTCAGGTAATTCGATGTGATCAAGATCCGGTTGTTTTGTTCCCCCCCGCTTTCCCTTGCAAAAAACACTATAAAATGACATTTCTTGTTCTAATATAATCAAATTTCAAGAATCCCTTGCAAAAAATAAGGTAAAGTGGACATTCGCGCGCGCAAGACGAAATCCTTCCAAAAGCTTAGTGTTCGGAGCGATTTTAACATAAAAACATCAAAAAACCAATGGTTTTTCAACAAAAAAATGTCAAAATCTCATCCCGCGCGCTCTTGCGGATTCGTAGGAAACCAACACTTTTTAAACATTTCTGTCAAACGGGCTTTTGCGAGCAACTTTTTCGAACTTCTGCGACAACGGTTGCGCACCTGCCAGGGCCATCATCCCTGTCAAATAATACCATGCGGGACACATTCGTTTTTTCTTCGCGCGCGCACGCCGTCGTCGTCGGCCGCGGGGCCCTGAATAGTAGCCACGGTCGTCCGCATGCCACGAAGTGAAGTGTCCGAACGTCATAGGGCGGGAAGCTGGGTGTGGGTGGTGGCGAAGAGTCGTTTGGAAATTTGGTAGAGCTTGAACCGCCCCCCCACAAAGTGGGGGTATTGCCCGCCTCCTATGAAAACCCTGGCACTGGTGAGAACGGTGTGTCCCCACGTGCTAGTAATTGTTGTTGTTGTTGTTGTTGTTTGTTGTTGTTGTTGTTGTTGTTGTTGTTGTTGTTGTTGTTGAACATTATTCCTTCTAAAGAATTATTATTGTTGGGACCCCTGGTGCGCGACCTCTGCGCCGCGCCTAGGCCGCAGCTACATTTTCATCATTTTTTCGCGAAAGCTTCAGAAAAGTGGATGAGCTCCGGATCCGGTTTTTTGTTGACGCTCGTTTTCCCTTGCAAAAAACAATAGAAAATGAAAATTCTTGTTCTTACTTGATCAAATTGCAAGAATCCCTTGCAAAAAATAAGGTAAAGTGGACATTCGTGCGCGCAAGACGAAATCCTTCCAAAACCTTAGGTTTCGTAGCGATTTTAACATAAAAACATCAAAAACCCAATGGTTTTTTAAGAAAAAATTGTCAAAATGTCCTTCCGCGCGCGCTGTCCGAATCCCACAAAACCAATGGTTTTTCAACATTTATGTTACATGAGCTCGCGCGAGCTACTTTTTCTTGTTCTAACATAATCAAATTTCAATAATCCCTTGCAAAAAATAAGGTAAAGTGGACATTCGCGCGCGCAAGACGAAATCCTTCCAGAACCTTAGGTTTCGTAGCGATTTCAACATAAAAACATCAAAAACCCAATGGTTTTTCAAAAAAAAATGTCCAAATTTCATCCCGCGCGCGCTGTCCGACTCCCACAAAACCAATGGTTTTTCAACATTTATGTTACATGAGCTCGCGCGAGCTACTTTTTCTTGTTCTAACATAATCAAATTTCAATACTCCCTTGCAAAAAAAAGTAAAGTGGACATTCGCGCGCGCAAGACCAACAAAAAACACGACGATCTCAGGAACTTGCCCCAAAAATGTGACCAACTCCGCTCTCTCTGTCTCTCTCTCTGTCTGCTCTCTGTCTCTCTCTCTGTCTGTCTGTGTCATGTATTGTATGTCACAATTGCAGGATGCTGGGCACACGCGCGCCCCGAATAAGTGACCAAGTTCTGTGGGTGTGTACCCCACGCCAGTGTAGTAGCCACGGTCGTCCGCACGCCACGAAGTGAAGTGTCCCAACGTCATAGGGCGGGAAGCTGGGTTTGGGTGGTCGCGAAGAGTCGTTTGGATATTTGGTAGAGCTTGAACTGCCCCCCCACGAAGTGGGGGTATTGTCTCGCGTTGCATGAAAACCCTGGCACTGGTGAGAACACTGAGCGTTCGGGTAAAATGATTGTTGTTGTTGTTGTTGTTGTTGTTGTTGTTGTTGTTTTTATTGTTGTTGTTGTTGAATTCTCGTTTCAGAAAAATATTTTTGTTTGATCCCCCCACCGGTGCATACTGTTTTTTCTCGATCAAAGTGTGACCCTCGACGCTCGCACCCTGTTTTTTGTCAGGGAAAGTCTTGATGCTCAAACTGGGCCCCTGGCCCCCAGGTTACACCAACGACAGCTCCCGCTTGAGACTTCCTTACTTTAGCCAGGACCCCCGCTCCCGCCCGAGACTTCCTCGCATTTTATTCAGGAATCGCGCTTTCGCTTGGGACTTCCTTACAATTTATTCAGGAATCGCTCTCCCGGCGCTCTGGAGTCGCGCTCTCGCTGGAGACTTGCTCGCAATTTACTGAAGAGTGGCCTTGCGTTGGAATTTCCTGCAAGTTGCCCAAGCGCCGCGCTCCCGACACCCAGGCACCCAGGAGTCGCGCCCGTTGTGGCCCCATGTGCATGCCCTTCGTGGCCCCGCTGTCGCCATTTGTGCCCCCCTCACTGTCCTACGTGGCCCAGTTGCTACCCTCAGTGGCCCCATAGTTGCCTTCTGTGGCCCCGCATTATCTGCACTTCGTGGCCCCCGCTCGTTCGCGCTCTTCGTGGCCCCATACGCATTCCCTTCGTGTCCCCGCTGTCGCCCTTCGTGGCCTACTTCGTGCCCTTCGTGGCCCTGCTGTCGTTCTCTCTCGCTCTCGCTTTCGCTCGTCGTCGCGTCGTCGTCGTCGTCGCCGTCGTCTTCGACGTCGTCGTCGTCGTCGTCGTCGTCGTCGTCGTGGTCGGTCCCCTGTCCGTCCCTCTTGGGGTCGGGTCGACGGTCCGCGGCCGCCCCGCCGATCAGCGCTGCCGCTGGCCAGGCCGACGGTCCGCGGCCGCCCCGCCGCTTGCAGGGGCCCGGCCTGCAGGGAACGAAGGTATACCCCCCAAAAGGGGTTCGATCGAATACGAAGAGGGCGGGTATCGAGGGTTTGGGAAATACGCGTTATTGGACACTCGAGCATATAAGGGCGAACTGTCTTGAAATTGTTGTTGTTGTTGTTGTTGTTGTTGTTGTTGTTGTTGTTGTTGTTGTTGTCGTCGTCGTCGTCGTCGTCGTCGTCGTCGTCGTCGTCGTCGTCGTCGTCGTTGTTGTTGTTGTTGTTGTTGTTGTTGTTGTTGTTGTTGTGGTTGTGGTTGTTGTTGTTGTTGTTGTTGTTGTTGTTGTTGTTGCATTGTCTCGTGAATCGGTCATGGCCTTTTCCCGGTCCTCTCAGAGGGCCAGCGCGCCTCGCAGCGCGCCCGTCGCCCAGCCATGGGCCGCCTCCGGGCGATGGCGGTTCGCATTCGCATTCGCATTCGCATTCGTTGAACTCTCATTTCTGAAGAATAATTATTGTTGATCCCCCCTGTCTGGTGCCCATTGGTCTTTTCAATTGAAGTGCTTCCTCCGGGGCTCGCACCCTGTTTTTTGGACAGGGAAAGCCTTGCGGATCAGATTGCGTTGTTGGGCCTCGGACTACAACAACAACGGCTCCCGCCTGAGACTTCCTCACAATTTACCCAGGACCCCTGCTCCCGCCTGAGACTTCCTCAAAATTTACTCCGGAAGGGCGCTCCCGCTTCAGACTTTCTCACATTTTACTTAGAAACGGCGCTCCCGCTTGAGACTTCCTCAATCAGGACCCCTGCTCCCGCCCGAGACTTCCTCATAATTTACTCAGGAATGGCGCTCTCGCTTAGGACTTCCTCGCAATTTATTGCAGCATCGCGTTCTCGACGCTCAGGAACCACGCTCGCGCCAAGGACGCCCTCGCAATTTACTTAGGAATCGCGCTCTCGCTTAATACTTCCTCGCAATTTACGCAAAAATCCCGTTTGAATGTCCCGCCCGCCCGACCCGCCCGTCAGGGTCCGCCCGCCCGACCGGCGCTCCCGCCTGAGACGTCCGACAATGTACTCGGGACCCCCGCTCCCGCCCAACTCTTCCTTGAGGAATACGCCCTCGCCTAGGACTTCCTCGAACGTTCACACTCTTACCCTCCTGCCCCTTCCTCCCCATCCAACCTCCCTCCTCCCTCCCCTCTCCCTCATATCCACCCTCCTCCTCCCTCTTCCTCTCTCCCCTCACCCTCCTCCCATAACCCTCCTCCCTCCTCTCTTCGCCCTCCCCTCTCCAGCCTCCTCCTTCCTCCCTCCTCTGTCTCTCTATCTCCAATCGTCCCCCCCCCCCCTCCTCGCCCCCTCTCTCCTGGCGTGTTCCCCTTTAGCCTCGTCCCTCCCCCTCCCTTCCTCCCACTCTCCCTCGTTCTCCCCCTTCCTCTTCTTGCAGGGCCCGCGCTAATTCCAATGGTGGGCAAAGAGATGCGTGCCCCATCCTCCGAATAATTCCCCGCCCGTTCACGCCCGCTTGTCTAAGCCCGCCCGCCCCCGCAAAAAGAAAGAATCCCCCCAGAAGGGGGTACGCTCGAAGACGAAGGGGGCGGGTACCGAGGGCGTGGGTATACACGTTGCATGGCACGCGGGCAAGTAAGAGCGAACAGTCTTAAGATGGTTGTTGTTGTTGTTGTTGTTGTTGTTGTTGTTGTTGTTGTTGTTGTTGTTGTTGTTGTTGTTGTTGTTGATGGAGGATGAAGGGGGGAGGATCACTAGGAAGAAAAGCATAATGAAGACGAAAGGGGGGATGGAGGGATGGTGAGGTGGAGGGGCTCCCGACCCAGGGCTACCTGCCGTTCGACAGATCGGGTGATTGGTTCTACCAGCTCAGTGAAGGCGCCAACGCGTCTCTCTTGGGCTGATCCACTCGTCATCATCGTCGCCGCTGGCTGGCACCGACCGCACCGCGCGCGACCGTCGCCATCTCGCCCATGTCTCTGCACCACTGTCTGGCCTGAATCGCACTTCGAAGCACTTCTGCACCATCCATGCTGGTGCGGGGCTTTGCTTCCACAGGCACTGGCGCATTCGCCCTCCCATCCTGCCCCTTTCCTCCTCACTTGCAGCCTGTTCGAGACGACGCTTTCTCGCAAAAGGTCGCCACATTGCGCCTTCTTTCTCTGCCCATGCGTCCCGCTGGATGCTTGGCTTCGTGCGTGCGATGCACTGGCGACGAGGCCCTCAGCTCGGCGTTCGGAGAGCGTCGCGATCGCAGGGCCGCTGCGGCCATCTGCCGTGGCCGTGGCCTGACGCCAGCGTCCTCCGGTTCGGTGCTGGGACCCTCGGCTCGGCAGACGGGGCAAACCAGCAGCAGGGAGTGGCAGCTCGGGGCCGTGCGAAACCCCCTGTTGCCTTGTTCTGGCGGATTTTCCGGGACGCCCCCCCCCCCTCCCCCCAACCCCTCGAACCTCCGTCATTGGGGTTAGCTTTGGGTTGTCCTGGACCCCCGCCCCGACCCCTCCCCAGAGTCCAGTCGTGGGAGTGTTTTTTGGGCTTCCCACGGACCCCCCTCACTAAAAGCCATCGTCCCCCATCGCATTTTCATGGCGGGGGGGGTTGTTTCCAGAGCCCCCACCGTGCTGGACCGCCCCCGACCAGCGGAGGCCCGGTCTTGCGCTGGATCGCATCCGGCTCGCAGAGGCGCGCCACGTCCAGATCTTTGGGCTCGCGTCGCGAAAAACACACGGAAGGCTTGTCGCTATTTTTGGCCCCTGGGGGCCCTCGCCGGGCCAAGGCCGCCGATCAGAGAGTGACTGGGCCCCGGCGGTTCGACGTGATGAACAAATCAAGGCGTCGGGGGGGACGCTGCACGGTAAGTTGTGCTCAGCGTGGCTCTCCACGGGCCCCGGCCCACCACGCCTCGGCGCGACGCGCTGTCCGCTCCGCGGTCCCCGGGCGTCCCCCTGCCGTGCTCCTCCCGGCCGCCCCCCCCGCGACGCGGAGCGACGCGCCGTCCGCTCACGAGGCGCAGCGTGTCGAGAGGGCCACCGCCGCGACACGCCAGATAGGCAGCAGCTCCAGGCCGCATTTTCCTAAAGCCCCCCTCCCCGCGCCCGCCCGCGCTCGGGCGTGGCTCGGGCAGGGATGCGTCGTTCCAGAGCTTCCCAGAGCGTTCTCAGAGCGTCGGGAACGCTCCGAGAAGGCCGCGGCGCCCGGCCCAGCCTCCAGAACCGCCGGATCTCAGAGACCCCCGATGTATCCCTGTCCAGTTCCGTCCTTGCGCTGGCTTCGTCGTACCCCCGCCGCCCGGCGAGCCCGCCCGCCGCCCGCCGCCTGGCCTGCCCTGCTGGCGGAGAGGTGGGCCCCGAGGGACCGCCGCCTCCCCCCCCCTCCAACAAAGACTACCCGAGACGTATCCAACCTCTTTTCCGCGCGAGGCAAGTGTTTGTCTGAGCGCTCCATACAAAAAGAACACGTCGCCATATGTGCAAGATCTGCGCTGCCCTTACCTCCGCCGTGTCTCCCAGGAGCCCACGAAAGTGGCGACGGTTGCAAATTTCGCAGCCCCCGAGGGATCCGCGAGGTCTCAAATGGATTTGCGCTGCGCTCACCTCTGCCGCGGCTCCCAGGAGCCCGCGCAAGTGGCGACGGGCGCGCAGCTCGCAGCCCCCCAGGGAGCTGCGAGGTACTTGGTCTGCGTGGCCCTCCACTCCGCTGGATCTCCCAGGAGCCCACGCAAGTGGCGAAAGTGGCCCGCTTTGCAGCCTCCCAGGGAGCCGTGAGATCTCGGCTGGATCCACGTGGCCCCCGACTCCGCTGGACCTCTTAGGAGCCCACGAAGGTGGCGACAGTGGCGCAGTTCGCAGCAACCCAGGGATGGATCCGCGTGGTCCCCCCCGTCTCCACTAGACCTCCCATGAGCCCACGAGAGTCGCGACAGTTGCGCAGTTCGCAGCCTCCCAGGGAGCAGCGAGGTCTCAAGTGGATGTGCGCTGCCCTCACCTCCGTCGTGCCTGCCATGAGCCCGCGAACGTGGCGACGGTTGCGCAGTTCACAGGCCCCGAATCCGCGAGGTCGCAAATGGATCTGCGCTGCCCTCACCTCTGCCGCGCCTCTCAGGAGCCCACGAAAGTGGCGACGGGCGCGTGGCTCGCAGCCCCCCAGGGAGCTGCGAGATATTTGCTTGGTCTGCGTGGCCCTCCACTCCGCTGGACCTCCTGGGAGCCCACGAAGGTGGCGAAAGTGGCTCCCGACTCCGCCAGACTTCTTAGGAGCCCACGAAGGTGGCGACAGTGGCACAGTTCGCAGCAACCCAGGGATGGATCCGCGTGGCCCCCGACTCCGCTGGACCTCCCGGGAGCCCACGAGCGCGGTGACAGTTGCGCGGTTCGCAGCCTCCAGAGGAGCAGCGAGGTCCCTGCTGGACCTGCGTGGCCCCCCGACTCCGCCGGACTGCCCGGGAGCCCACACGAAAGTGGCGACGGGTGCGCAGTTCGAAGCAGTTCAGGGAGCCGCGGGGTCTCGGCTGCCCCCGACCCCCCTGGACCTCCCAGGAGCTCATGAGAGTGGTGACAGGTGCGCAGTTCTCAGCCTCCCGGGGAGCGGTGAGGTCTTGAATGGATCCGCGTGACCCCCGACTCCGCTGGACCTCTCAGGAGCCCACGAGAGTGGGAGCAGCTGCGCAGTTCGCAGCCTCCAAGGGAGCAGCGGGGTCTCAAATGGATCCGCCTTGTCCCCGACTCCGCTGGACCTCCCGTGAGCCCGCGAAAGTGGCAACAGTTTCGCAGTTCACAGCCTCCCATGGAGCAGCGAGGTTCCACATGGGTCCGCGTGGCCCCCGACTCTGAAGGACCTCCCAGGAGCCCACGAACGTGGCGACAGTTGCGCAGTTCGCAGCCTCCTAGGCAGCAGCGAGGTCCCTGCTGGATCTGCGTGGCCCCCCGACTCCGCTGGACCTACCAGGAGCGCACGAAAGTGGCGAAAGTTGTGCAGTTCGTAGCCACCCAGTCGTAAAAGCACGAGCAAGGGAGGCAACGATGCAGGAGACGAGGAGGAGGAGGAGGAGGAGGAGGAGGAGGAGGAGGAGGATGAGGAGGGGGAGGGGGATGATGATGATGATGATGATGATGATGATGATGATGATGATGATGATGATGATGATGATGATGATGCTGATGATGATGATGATGATGATGATGATGATGATGATGATGATGATGATGATGATGATGATGATGATGATGATGATGATGATGATGATGATGATGATGATGATGATGATGATGATGATGATGATGATGATGATGATGATGATGATGATGATGATGATGATGATGATGATGATGATGATGACGATGATGAGGAGGAGGCGGAGGAGGAGGAGGAGGAGGAGGAGGAGGAGGAGGAGGAGGAGGAAGATGATGAGGAGGAGGAGGAGAAGGAGGGGGGGGAGAAGGAGGGGGAGGAGGAGGAGAAGGAGGATGAGGAGGCGGAGGAGGAGAAAGATGACGAGGAGGGGGAATGCTACTGGAGACAACAAGGCTTTATTCAACATCGGAACCCAACACAGGAGGCTCGGGGAACACATACCGCAGCAGAAACACTCCACAGGCAGAGGTGGGGAGACGGGTCGAGGAGTGGGAGGTCGGACAGCGAGAGCGTGCACTCCTGGGCGTGTCGAGGGATGCCTGGGAAGCGCACGGTCATGTGCACGAGCCGTCGCCGACGACGACGACGCGGACGCAGACGACGACGACGTCGCGGATATGACCACGACGACGACGACGACGACGGCGGCGGCGGCGACGACGACGACGACGATGACGACGACGGCGGCGGCGACGACGACGACGACGACGGCGGCGGCGACGACGACGACGACGACGACGGCGGCGGCGGCGGCGGCGGCGACGACGACGACGACGGCGACGGCGACGACGACGACGACGACGCTGACGTGGGACAGAGTCCTCAGGGATGCTTCTTGGGCTCTTTTCGGAAGGCTCTCCGGGGCCTCTCGGGAGGAATTGTTTGGGCCTTTTAGGACCCTCTTGGGGGCCTCTTGGGAGCCTCTTGGGGGCCTCTTCGGCCTTCCTCGAGACCTCTTGTGGGCCTCTTGGGGCCTCTCGGGAACCTCTTGGGAACCTCTTGGGGGCCTCTGGGGAGGAGTTGTTGGGGCCTCTTAGGACCCTGTTGGGGGCCTCTTGGGAGCCTCTTGGGGGTCTCTTCGGGCTTCCTGGGGACCTCTTATGGGCCTCTTGGGGCCTCTTCGGAACCTCTTGGGACCTCATGGGAGCCTTTCGGGGCCGAGGGGTCGAAGTGTCTGTTCGGGACCCCCGTCTGGGCACGCTCTTGGAGCCGTCATTGGGGCCTCTGGGGCCGCCTTGGAGGCGCTTCGGGCTGTCTTGGGGTCCTCTTGGGGGCTGTTTCGGGGCCCTCTTGGAGGCCTCTTGGGCCGTCTTGGGGCGATCTTGGGGGCCTATTCGGCCGTCTTGGAGCGGCGGGAAGCGGAGAAGGCGAGACCACCCAAATTTTTCAAACATTGAAGGGAATCAATGACTTTTGCTTCTTGGGGCCCTCTCGGGAGTGTCTTTGGAGGCCTGTTAGAGCGTCTTGGATGTCTCTCGGGCGACCTGGAGGGCGTGAAGGCGTTTGGGACCGCGTTTGGCGATTGGGGGCCCTGTTGGACCGTCTCGGGGACCTCTTGGGCCACTCGCGGCCTGTCTTGGAACTTTTTGCGGCCCTGGGACCCCTGGGGGGGGATGCCCAGGACCCCCTCCCGGGAGAGGCGTATCTGACCCAGGATTCCCCTGGGACACCTCCCCACTCGACGGGGGCGGGATCAACGGGAAGGGGCTTTCCTTCGGTTCGATCACGACACTGCTAGTTCTTTCTCTCGCCGACAGGCTTTCGGGAGGAGGGTGCATCAGCGATGCGGCGCGATCCTCCGACCGTATCTACTCGGACCCCATCTAGGAGACCTCTAATTGGGGCAGGAGCGCGATTCCAGAGCAGACTGTGAGGAAGCCTCGGGCGAACCGGCTGCCGGATCGGGCGGTCTCGGGCTCTCTCCGTTTTCCAATTGTGGGGCTTGGTTGTGTTCTTTGAGTTCTCTCTTCTTCGAGCGTTCCGGCGACACGCCAGCAGGGAGACACAGTTCGAACTTTTTTTGGCGGGGGTCCCTGGGGCCCCCCTCCAAACCCGTGACTGGTTTTTCACAAGGGGATTCTTGAGAAGTTCTTGCCCCCCTCCCCTGCACGAGGGTTATGCGGGGTTCACGGGAAGTGGTCAACCGAGACCCAAGGACGGGGGTTTTGTCCACGGGGTGCTCCCCCAATTTGCTCCCCTGAGAGTCTCTCCCCAACATAGCACCGCGTGACGTGTGTTCCGATTTTTTGCCGTGGGGGATTCCAGGGGGGACAGAATACCCGAGACGTGCCCAGCCTCTTCTCCACGTGAGGCGCGTCTTTGCATGACGGCTCCACAGACAAGAACACGTCGCACGATCTGCGCTGCCCTCGCCTCCGCCGTGCCTGCCTCCCAGGAGCCCGCGACAGTGGCGACAGGTGCTCAGTTCGCAGCCATCCGGGGAGCCGCGGGGTCTCACATGGATCTGCGCTGCCCTCACCTCCGCCGTACCTCCCAGGAGCCCAGGAAGGTGGCGACAGCTGCGCAGCTCGCAGCCCCCGCGGGAGCCGCGGGGTCTCAAATGGATCTGCGCTGCGCTCACCTCCGCCGCGCCTCCCAGGAGCCCGCGAAAGTGGCGACGGTTGCACACTTCTCAGCCCCCGAGGGGGCCGCGAGGTATCAGCTTGGTCTGCGCGGCCCTCCACACCGCTGGACCTGCCAGGAGCCCGAGGAAGTGGCGACAGTTGCGCAGTTCGCAGTCTCACAGGACGCCGCGAGGTCTCGGCTGCCCCCGACTCCGCTGGACCTCAGTTTGCTCAGTTCGCAGCCTCTCAGGGAGCAGCGAGGTCTCAAATGGATCCGCCTGGCCCTTGACTCCGCTGGACCCCCCCAAGGAGCCCACAAAAGTGGCGATAGTTGTGCAGTTCGCAGCCTTCCAGGGAGTCGCGAGGTCCCAGATGGATCCGCGTGCACCCCCCGAATCTGCTGGACCTCTCAGGAGCCCGCGAAAGTGGCGACAGTGGGGCAGTCGGCAGCCCCCCCGGGAGCCGCGAGGTCTCCGCTGGAGAGAGGTTGAACTGTCAAGTTGCAACGTTCAATGAATGCTGAATGAAGCCGTATAGGGGATGGATGACATAGGGTGCATCTCCGTTGGTCGCGACAGGCTTATGGTTCCCACCTTTGATGTTCGAAAGGCCATGGTGCCTTTCGGTGCCCACCTCGTCCCGCCCACAGGGACTTCGCCCTTCCCAGATGGCGAGGTGGGTGGGCGGGCCGCTCCTCCCCCCCCCCCCCGTGGTGTCGCAGGTACGACGCCAGGGGCTGTGGGGATTCTGGAGAAGGTATTCACTCCTCGGAAACTGGAGCATTACATTACTTTACTAGTGAATTTAATTGGTTTTAGGGTTTTCACAAATGGTCGCAGCCACGCAGAGGGCGTGCGTAGCGACGCCCCAAATGCCCGGTCTCCAGCACTTCTACGTGGCGGCGCCCCCGCAGGCACGCAGAGGGCACGCGTGGCGACGGGGGCGTCGCCACGCAGAGCTTCTAAAGACCAAACATTTTGAAAACCAATTCTTTCCACTACTAAAGTACCAATGGTGGGCTGTTTTTCAATCCCAGGACTTGTCGAGGGTCGCGGACAACGTCGCGGTTGTGTGGTGTGTTCTTTTTTCCCCGTTTCCCGGGGGAAACAACAGAACGTGCATACACCAGGATCCCGTATACACCAGGATCCGCTCTCCTGTGTGAATGTCAGTGCGGGGCCAGAAAAAAGCGTCAGTGTATAGAATTTGGCTCCTTAGGCTCAAAGTTCCCACCCGCAAGAAAAAGTCCCAATCGTGCTGGCATGCTCCATGTCGCCGTGGTGCTGCCGCCCCAGTTGTGACGGTAACGCCCGTAATGCTACGCGCACTCGTACTGCACAGCGCCGCGTTGTTAGCCCCAATGGTGTTGGCAACCGGGATAACAATGGTGATGTTGGTTCCATCTCGTGGTGTTGTTTGCACCCGCGCTGCTCAACGACGCAATGCTGGCACAGGTCGTGCTTGTCACAGTGGACGCCGTTCTCCAGGTCGCCGTGTTGCTGCTGATTCGGTCGGAGCCAGTGAGTTACATGAATCCTTCCCGTCTGTCCTCGCCCCACATGGTCGTCGGTGGAAGCCCTATGGTGGCCTCCAGCGCGGTTGGGTGACATCGTCCTGTGGAGGCTGATGCCCCTGGCCCGCTGCCGAGCCCTATGGTGGCTCTGGCCCCGACTCCTCCCAACCTTCCAAGGGAGGACCCCCGACTCCTCTGGACCTCCTAGAAGCCACAAAAGTGGCGACAGGTGCGCGCCCAGGGAGCCGCGAGGCCCCCACTAGATCTGCGTGGCCCCCAGCTGCGCTGGACCTCCCAGGAGCCCGCGAAAGTGGCTACAGTTGCGCAATTCGCAGCCTCCCAGGGAGCCGCGAGGTCCCAAATGGATCTGCGTGGCCCCTGAATCCGCTGGACCTCCCTGGAGCCCACGAAAGTTGCGACAGTTGCGCAGTTCGCAGCCACCCAGTTGCAAAGGCACGAGCACAGGAGGCAAGGAGGCAGGAGGCAGCAGGATGAGGGATGAGGAGGAGGAGGGAGAAGGAGAATGGAGACCACAGTGTTTTGCTCAAAACGAGAACCCGACGCACGGGAGGGTTCGGAAAAACCGTGGTCGGGGTTCACGCGGGTTTTCAATTGGCTTTGGGTGAAGCAGCGCGCTTGTATATGTGTCTTGGGAAAGCCCGTCCCAGGCCAACCCCCTGACGCCCCATCAGGACCCCCCAGGCCCCCTTCCGAGGCGGCGATTTATCCATAACCACAGCCTTGGAGATCGATCTTCGGGGACCTCGGCAGGCGGCGGATATCGATATGTTCGGGCCCTCTGGGGGGGGCAAATACGTCCATATCCATCGCCTGCCGGCGTCCTCGAAGATGATCACCCAGGCGGAGGTCGTGGATGAATCCCCAGCTCGCAACCCTCCCTCCCACCCAAACCCTCGTCACGAAGGGTTCTTCCACATGGGGCTCGGCCCCGAACTCTCACAGCTGGTCCTCGAGCCAGCTGCTGGGGGGCCGCTCCTGGCAGCCGAGCCCCGGCTGCCGGCAGGGACCCTCGCCCTCCCAGGGGCCTCGTGGCTGGCACCCAGAGGGCAGCGAGGAGGCTTCGATCCCAGAAAAGCGCGCAGTTCTGGCCGGAGGAGGAGGAGGAGGCAGGTCCCGAGCCCCCACGCCGTGCTCGGGCCCTCGTGGCCCTCCGCGGGCCTCGGGGACGGTCAGGAAGTGGCTCGGTATCAAGATCTCGTCCCGCGGGAAGGCCCCGAGGTCCTCCTCCTCCTCCTCCTCCTCCTCCTCCTCCACCTCCTCCACCTCCTCCTCCTCCTCCTCCTCCTCCTCCTGCGCGCGGTTTGTTCCGGGATTCTGCGTGGACCCTGCTGCAATTACTGCTGAGGTTTCGCCAGGGCTCTCTTGCCAGGACCCTGCCAGGACCCCGCACTGGAGCCCAGCCAGGTCCTCACAGCATTTTCGGCCAAGGCCTCACCAGGATTCTGCCAGGACCCTATCAGGACCGTGCCGCGCCCCTGCCATGGCCTCCTCAGGACCCTGCCTCGACCCTACCACTGCCTCGACTCGCTACCGAATCGCCACGCAATTTGCCAGGCTGTATGTACAGCAGGCGCTCAATGGCAGAACGAGGCACCGCGGTCGGGCAACAAACTGCAGTTTTCTGCTATGACGGAAGTTCCGATCCGATGCGTGCTCTGGTAGGGCCCCTGCGACGGGTTGCCCACGCAGGTGGGCAGTTATTTCACGGGCTACGCGCTCGTGCGTGGGTCCGCTTGTGTTGTAATGTAGGGGAGACTGCGCGCGGAAACCAAGTTCTGGAACCGAGTATCTCTACGTGTTGGTCTTGGTTGCGGCTCTACTTACGTAGTGTTCTGGAGGAAGCAGCGGTTCTCATGACGATCCGCCAGGGGATTGATGCACACTTCCAGGGGCTAGCGCCGTGGCAGAATTCGAGGCGTATGAGGACAATCAGGGATGCGCGGTGCTTAAAGCTGGAGGTTTGCTGAGCAACCGAGAACCTGCATCACAGAACATCGTGAGAGTCTTCTGTTTTGGCACGTCGGTTGTGGTTCCAATGACATTCAGCAGTCTGTTCATTCTAAGTTTGTTCTGTCGTGTCTTCACTGCTGCCACCCCTCGGAGTTGAGCGGGCAGGCATTGCGCTGTCGCTCGCCTTGGGGATCGTGTACTTATGCCGTGTGCAGTGCGCTGCGACCTACGACCGGCAGGCCAGGCTTCGCCGGATCTTTTTCCAGAGCCGCCTTTTTGCCGCGGGCTTCCTTTAGACATCATCCAACCTCAGAGCTGACACTGGGTTGATGAGGCAGGGTAGAGGGCAGGGGGAGTCTGCGACGCCAGCTGGTTCTGGGGAAGGAGTGGTTGATTCAGCCGTGCGACGTTGCGATGGTGGAAGATTCCGCAGACGTGTCGTTCTAGTGCTATCATGCCTAAGTTTCGTTTTGCGTGGCAGAGGTTAGACAAGGCGGTGGTGCAATCTCTCTGAGCTTATCGGATTGATCGTACACCCTTTATTGTGTACTTCCAGATGATCGAACGACTGCTGAGGCCGCATGTTGGACGGATGCAAGAGGTGTCTTGTTCGCCAGGGGCGAGCGTCCCGGTTGTAAGCGCGACTGGCCAGCGTGCTGGCGCAGAAAGTCTCTTTTGACTAGGGGGGCGCTTGTGCTGTCACTGGCGCTTTTTGCATCTTCCATCTGGTGATGCGGTCGCCCCTTTGTCTTCGCTCTCTTCTCCATGGGTAGCAGCCGTCGGATAGATTGACGTCTGCCGGTATGACCATCGTGTCGGTGCAATTGCAATTGCCGATGCTGCGCCTCCTGGAGTCGCCCCTCTCGCTCGCCTCAGTAGCCCCGTGTGGCTGGTGCCTCCTCATGCGTGCAGTCAGGACCTGGATGCGGTCGCTTCGCGGAGCCCAAAAGTGTTTTGGCAAATTGCAGGAGAGACCTCGTCTTCACGCCCGCTGAGTATTGTAATGTCTACGGTTTATAATGTTTGATTGTAGTACGTGTTGCAGCTTGCGGCCCGCCTCTCATAATTGTTTCCGCAAGGCTTGTGCAGTGACTGGATCAACGATTGGCTGACATTGGTTACCCCACTGCACCATCGCAGAAGGTTGGACCCGCTGCATATGGGGGTCGAGGGCTCTGGCACTGAGGCGTCGAGGCATCCTGGAACCAGTCGCAATGGGCTGCTGGGAATTCGGCTCGCGGCGACTGGCCCCTGCTAGGCCTCGGCTGGCCTCTCACCTTGAGCTGATGGGCGGTGGGTTGGCATCGGCTGGCCCCGACTGGCCCCGTCTCGCCCCGACGGGCCTCTCGCCTTTCTGGCTGTCGCGGAATCGATCGCCGCGGCCAGCCCCCATTTGCCACTTGTATTTGCGAAGGAGCTTGCTGGGAGAAGACTAGGCCCGACTAGCCCAGAGGGCCCACCTGCTTTGGGCTGCCAGGCACTCCATTGGACCCCCCCCCAACGAGCCCCGATTATCTAGCCCCAGCTTCAGCCCCAGCGTCCAGCGGATTCCGACTCGCTGCAGATGGAGCCCCAGTGGCCTTGACTGGAGGGTTGCTTCCCCAGGGGCTGCGAGTGGCTCAGCTGGCTGGGATTGGTCGTTTGCTCTGGGCTGGCTGGAAAGTTGGCTGGACGCGGATGGCCTCGAATGCTGGCGTCTGGCCGCTGGTGTTCATTTGCCAGGAATCCCTGTCGTCAGGCGCCCTGAGGGGCCGCCAGTGCTGCAGTGCCGGGGACTCGGCTGGCCAAGAACAGACCTGACTGGCCCGTCTGGCCGCTTGCCTTTGTTTGCCAGGGGTTCGGTCGGCCCGTGGTTGTCTCGACTGACCACGTGCAGCATCCTCGTGCGAGCGCGCGCGTGCGAACTGGCGCTGCGCGTATTCGGGCGAGGACGTGCTTCGTTGCGGGCGCGCCGGATGGTTGGCACGGTCAGGCCTCGGGGTTCGACGCGCGGCCCCGCCGGTGTGCGAGAGGCTGACGCACTCAATAACCTCTGGCTGATCTTGCCCGCGCTGGTCGTTTCGCTGGTGATCCACCCGCACCTGAACAACCACACCCCGACGGACAGCTAGGGGAGCCACCACTGCAGTTACCTGTGGAGGGTGACATGTAGCGCTATATATACGTAGATATGTATACAGATATCTATACATACACGTTAGCCAGTGTGAACGCCAAACTGTGTGTTTCTAGCAATATGTGAGTAGTAACCTATGTGGAGCAATCTATGTAATGCGATATACGTGGTGCAACATATATTGTGCAACATGTGTGGTGCAGTTTATGTTGTGCTATAGATGTGGTGTGACATAGGTGGTGCAATCTCTGTGGTTCATTCTAAGTGGGGCAATCTTTGTGGAGCAATCTCTGGGGAGCACTATATGCGATGCAATCTATGTGGGACAACCTATGCTGTGCAATCTGTGTGGTGCAATCGAGGTTGTGCAATCTATGTGGTTCAATCTAGGTTGTGCAATCTATGTGGTGGAATATATGTTGTGCAATGTATACTGGGCACTCTACGTAGTGCGATCTATACATGACAGTCTATGTGGTACCATCTATCTGTGGCAATCTATGTGGTTCAATCTGTGTGATGCACTCTACGTGGTGCAATCTAGGTGGTGCAATATATGTTGTACAATCTATGGGGACCCATCTATGTGGCGCAACCCATGTTGTGCAATCCATGCTGTGCAATATATGAGGTGCAATCCATGTTGTGCAAGATCTGTTGCGCAATCGATGTGGTGCAGTCTATGTGGTGCAAACGACGGCGCCGACTGGCAGCGACGAGGCGGCGACAGGGCGGCGACGGCGACACCATAGCCGCCAGACGGTCACACTGGCCCAGACGACGGGCGGCGACGAGGCGGCGACGGGGCGGCGACGGCGACAACATAGTCTCCAGACCGCCACACTGGTCCAGACCACGGGCGGCGACGAGGCGGCGATGGGACGGCGACGGCGACAACATAGTCTCCAGACCGCCACACCAGCCCAGATTCTGAGATAAAATTAAAAGCCCTAAGTGCAAGCACTGTTTGGAGAATCTGTCTGTCCGTCTGTCTGTCTGTCTGTCTGTCTGTCTGCCTGTCTGTCCCATTGATTTTTTTCCCTAACAGAAATAATTCGCTGAGCAATTAATGCTGTAGCTGTACTGTAGGGTGCTACAGTAAATAATTCGCTGAGCAATTAATGCTGTAGCTGTAGCTGTAGCTGTAGCTGCGACGCAGCTTTCGCGCGGCGTTTTTTCTGTTTTTTACGACGCCGGGAGGTCTGGGCCAGGAAGGAAAAAGGAGTTAGAAAGGAATTTGATAAGGGATTTCAAAGGTTAGAAAGGAATTCAGTTTTTTTGCGTTAAATTTGTTTTCTTTACGACGCCAGGAGGTCTGGGCCGGGGAAGAAAAAGGAGTTAGAAAGGAATTTGATAAGGAATTTCAAGAGTTAGAAAGGAATTTCGTTGTTGGGGTCGTTTTTTTGTTTTTTTAACGACGCCGAGATGTCTGGGCCAGGAAGGAAAAAAAGGAGTTAGAAAGGAAATTGATAAGGAATTTCCAGAGTTTGAAGGGAATTTCGTTTTGGGTGTTGTTTTTAAACAAAAAAGAAACGACGCCGGGAGGTCTGGGCCAGGAAGGAAAAAGGAGTTAGAAATGAATTTAATAAGGAATTTCAAGAGTTAGAAAGGAATTTCGTTTTTGGTGGTGTTTTTTTTGTTTTGTTTTTTACGACGCCGAGAGGTCTGGGCCAGGAAGGAAAAAGGAGTTAGAAAGGAATCTAATAAGGAATTTCAAGAGTTAGAAAAGAATTTCGTTTTTGGGAAATTGATTTTTGTTTTGTTTTTTTACGACGCCGAGAGGTCTGGGCCAGGAAAGAAAAAGGAGTTAGAAAGGAATTTAATAAGGAATATCAAGAGTTAGAAAGGAATTTCGCTTTTTTTGATTATTTTTGTTTTGTTTTTTACAACGACACCGAGAGGTCTGGGCCAGGAAGGAAAAAGGAGTTAGAAAGGAATTTAATAAGGAATTTCAAGAGTTAGAAAGGAATTTCGCTTTTTTGGTGGCTGTTTTTTTGTTTTGTTTTTGTTACGACGCCGGGAGGTCAGGGCCAGGAAGGAAAAAAGGAGTTAGAAAGGAATTTGATAAGGAATTTCAAGAGTTAGAAAGAAATATTGTTTTTTTTGTTGTTTTTTGTTTCATTTTTTACAACGCCGAGAGGTTTGGGCCAGGCAGGAAAAAGGAGTTAGAAAGGAATTTAATAAAGGAATTTCAAGAGTTAGAAGGGAATTTCGTTTTTGGTGGTGTTTTTTTGTTTTGTGTTTTACGACGCCGAGAGGTCTGGGCCAGGACGGAAAAAGGAGTTAGAAAGGAATTTAATAAGGATTTCCAAGAGTTAGAAAGGAATTTCGTTTTTCTGAAATTGTTTTTTGTTTTGTTTTTTTTACGACGCCGAGAGGTCTGGGCCAGGAAGGAAAAATGAATTAGAAGGGAATTTAATAAGGAATTTCAAGAGTTAGAAAGGAATTTCGTTTTTTTGGGCTGTTTTCCGTTTTTTTACGCGCCGAGAGGTCTGGGCCAGGAAGGGAAAAAGGAGTTAGAAAGGAATTTAATAAGGAATTTCAAGGTTTAAAAAATTAATTTCGTTTTTTTTTTGTTTTTCTCTCTCACGACGCCGAGAGGTCTGGGCCAGGAAGGGAAAAGGAGTTAGAAAGGAATTTAATAAGGAATTTCAAGAGTTAGGAAGGCATTTAGTTTTTGGTAGTTTTTTGTTGTTTTGTTTTTTTTTTTTTTCACGACGCCGAGAGGTCTGGGGCAGGAAGGAAAAAGGGGTTAGAAAGGAACTTAATAAGGAATTTCAAAAGTTAGGAAGGAATTTCGTTTTTTTGGGGGCTTTTTTTTTTTTCACGACGCCGACAGGTCTGGGCCAGGAATGGAAAAAGGAGTTAACAAGGAATTTAGTAAGGAATTTCAAGAGTTAGACATGAATTTCGTTTTGGTGGTTGGTCTGTTTTGTTTTTTACGACGCCGAGAAGTCTGGGCCAGGAAGGAAAAAAAAGGAGTTAGAAAGGAATTTAATAAGGAATATCAAGAGTTAGAAAGGAATTTCGTTTTTCGGGGTTGTTTTTTTGTTTTGTTTTTCTACGACGCCGAGAGGTCTGGGGCAGGAAAGAAAAATGAGTTAGAAAAGAATTTAATAAGGCATTTCAAGAGTTAGAAAGGAATTTCGTTTTTGGGGTGCTTTTTTTTTTTTTTTTTTTACAACGCCGAGAGGTTTCGGCCAGGAAGGGAAAAAGGAGTTAGAAAGGAATTTAATAAGGAATTTCAAGAGTTAGAAAGGAATTTGATTTTTTGGGGGTCTGTGTTTTGTTTTGTTTTTTTTTACGACGCCGAGAGGTCTGGGCCAGGAAGGAAAAAGGAGTTAGAAAGGAATTTAATAAGGAATTTCAAGAGTTAGAAAGGAATTTCGTTTTTTGGGGTTGTTTCTTGGTTTTGTCTTTTTACGACGCCGGGGGGTTTGGGCCAGGAAGGAAAAAGGAGTTAGAAAGGAATTTAATAAGGAATTTCAAGAGTTAGAAAGGAATTTGTTTTTTGGGGGGTCTGTGTTTTGTTTTTTTTTTTACGACGCCGAGAGGTCTGGGCCAGGACGGAAAAAGGAGTTAGAAAGGAATTTAATAAGGAATTTCACAGAGTTAGGAAGGAATTCTGGATACCAGAGAGAATTCTGCATCTCAGAGACTATCTGATAAGAATTGCCCAAGAAGCGCCGGGGCCAGGAAGGGGAAACGGAGTTAGAAAGGAATTCGATAAGGAATTTCCAAGAGTTAGAAAGAACTTTTGAATACCAGAGAGAATTTTGAATCGCAGGCCCACTTGCGTCAGAATTCCCCAAGAAACGCTGGGGCCAGGAAGTGGAAACGGAGTTAGAAAGGAATTCGATAAGGAATTTCCAGAGTTAGAAAGGAATTTTGAATACCAGAGAGAATTCTGAACCTCAGAGACAATCGAGTCCGAATTGCCCGAGAAAGCCAGGGCCAGGAAGGGAAAAAGGAGTTAGAAAGGAATTTGATAAGGAATTTCCCGAGTTAGGAAGGAATTTTGAAAACCAGAGAGTATTCCGAATTTCAGAGACTAGGTATCGAATCAGAATTCCCCAAGAAACGCTGGGGCCAGGAAGGGGAAACGGAGTTAGAAAGGAATTCGATAAGGACTTTCCAGAGTTAGCGAGGAATTTTGAATACCAGAGATAATTCTGAACCGCAGAGAGTATCGATTCAGAATTGCCCGAGAAAGCCAGGGCCAGGAAGGGAAAAAAGAGTTAGAAAAGGAATTTAATACAGAATTCCCAAGAGTTAGAAAGGAATTTTGAATACCACAGAGAATTCTGAACTTCAGAGACAATCGAATCAGAATTTCCCAAGAAACGCTGGGGCCAGGAAGGGGAAACGGAGTTAGAAAGGAATTCGATAACGATTTTCCAGAGTTAGAAACGAATTTTGAATACCAGAGATAATTCTGAATCTCAGAGCCAATCGCGTCAGAATTCCCCAGGAAACGCCGGGGCCAGGAAGAGAAAAATGAGTTAGAAAGGAATTTAATAAGGAATTTCCAGAGTTAGAAAGGAATCTTGAATACCAGACAGAATTCTGAATTTCAGAGACTATCGAATCAGAATTCCCCAAGAAGCGCCAGGGCCAGGAAAGGGAAACGGAGTTAGAAAGGAATGTAATAAGGAATTTCCAGGGTTAGAAAGGAATTTTGAATACCAGAGAGAGTTCTGAACCTCAGAGACAATCGAATCCGAATTGCCCGAGAAAGCCAGGGCCAGGGAGGGAAAAAAGAGTTCGAAAGGAATTTGATGGGGAAACTCCACAGTTAGAAAGGATTTTTGAATGCCAGAGAGAATTCTGGATTTCAGAGACTATCGAATCAGAATTCCCTAGGAACCGCTGGGGCCAGGAAGGGAAAACGGAGTTAGAAAGGAATGTGATAAGGATTTTCCTGGGTTCCGAAGGGGAAGAAGGAACTCCGTTTTCCCTTCCTGGCCCCAGCGTTTCTTGGGAATT